GAATCATGATGGGGTGTGTATGTATATATATTTCTATCTTGTTTTGTTGATGTTTATTACTATTTGGGATTCTATTATTTATTAAATTTGGTGATGATTTCTTTGTGAACTTTGGTTAATAATTACATAGTGTTAGATGTTACATATTTGCAACATTGTTGCATGTGCAGAGGAGGCAGGGGTCTTCAATTTCCAAATGAGTAAAATGTTACTAGTAATATTTCTGTTGTCTAAGTTGCTTGGTAATCAAAAATATGTCCGTATTCGTGTCGGATCTTTCGAAAATATATTATTTTTAGAGGTTGAAGAAGGATAAAATGGGAAGAATAATGTCATTTATGCATTAATTTTATGAAATGACAAATATTAAGAATTATTTATTTTTTAAGAAGAGTAACATATAAATAGGAACATGGGAAGTATAAACAAAAAGAACATGGGAAGTATAAACAAAAAGAATATGAATGTAAAAAAAGGTAAATATCAATAGTCTTTTCTTGTAAAGTGAGATCGTAATTGATGAAGATTATTTAAACACAATATTTTTTTTCTATATTCTTATAACTCAAAATTTACTATACATCACATTAATGATGGTTATCATAAATATTTTTAAAATTTAATTATATATAATATATTTTTTATAAATATTATTACACAAAAGTTAATATTATCATACAAAAATAAAAAAAATAAACATAAAAATTAATTTCAATAGAAAATCAATAACAAACAACTTTATGACTTATGAAGTCAAAAATTTCTGTTAAGGATGCGAAATATAAAAGATAAACACACAAAATAAAAAGCTAATATAAATTCAATATCTACCGTATATATCAAAAAAAAATTCTAATTATATATAAATTACGTAATCCTTTCTAGCTTCGTCCGAGAGAGAGAGAGAGTGTGTGTGAAGACGCGGGACAGGTATGAACTGAATAAACTTTTAGCTCCAAATTTTTCAATTTGGGAGATTTCCAGGAAAAGGGTGTTCAATTTCTTGGCATATCAAATGCAAAATGGCTGCTAGGGACTTGTTGTTTTGAAAATTCCAAACTGGGTTTTCCAGGTAAACAAGTTTTTGACAAGAATTTCTTGAATTATTTTGGGGGAAATATGGTTAGTTATAAGGGTAAAGAAAAAATTGTTTTTGATGATCAGAATGAGGAAAACAACATATGGGTAGATAGGAATTTTCTTCAGTTAAATGAGTATAAAGGGAATTCCTCTAAAAGGGTAGCTGAAAATGAGGAAATTCAGGCAGAAATTACTGAAAAGTTATCAAAAGATGAAATCTTTCATCTTTCCTCTAAAAGGGTAGCTGAGAATGAGGAGATTCAGGCAGAAATTAGAGAAAAGAAGCTAAAAGATGGAATATTTGATCTTTCTTTATCTTGCCCTAGCTTTAGTAGGAGTTTACAATCAGTGGAACCATCAAATAACAACACAAGGATTGGGTATTTCAGGAATGGGTCCTTGTCGTCATGTTATTCCCATCCGTTTTCCCATAACCTTAGCTACTCACTTACCCTGAGTTCAAAAGAGGAAAGTGAGTATTCCGGGGAGGGAGTTAACTGGTCGGTTTTTAGCAAGTTTAGGCCAGTTGAAGTAAGGGATTGTACATTGCCAGGTCATCCTGGTGGAAGTAGTTTAGCTTTAAGTTGTAGACTGCAGGTCAATAAGGATAATGATGTTGATAGGATCAGTAGCTCGGATAGCAATTCATATTTCTCATTCGAGTTTCCTGTAAGACCTACGGGTGATTCGAGAGTAAGAGGAAGTATTGAAGTAGGAAGAGCACTCCAATTTTCTCGGCCTGAGAGAATCCTTGCGGAGATAGCTTCAGAGTCTGTTCCTCTTATGGCTCAGATTCTGCAGGAGCTTCCTGATGAAACGGTTGAATCAACAAAGGATTACTTGAGAAGCCTAATTGCAATTCCTGAGAAGAAAGACCTTTTGGTCAGCCTTCAGAATATGCTTCATCGGAGATCTGATCTTACTGTTGAGACTCTCTTAGAGTGTAATACGACTCAACTACAAATTTTTGTTGCCATAAAAACGGGTCATAGAAGTTTCTTATCTTTGGAAAATCACCTTCAAGTTACTGAATTGATTGAGATTTTTTCACTTGAAAGGTGTCGGAACATACGATGCAAAAGTGTGTTACCTGCTGATGATTGTAAATGCAAAATTTGTTCGAGAAACAATGGATTCTGCTCTGTATGCATGTGTATAGTATGTTCTAACTTCGATTATGCCACTAATACTTGTCGTTGGGTAGGCTGTGACAGATGTTCACACTGGTGTCATGCTGTTTGCGCTGTTCAGAGAAATCTTATAAAGCCAGGTCCAAGTATCAATGGGCCATCTGGAACAACTGAGATGCAACTTCACTGTCTTGGTTGTGGTCATTCTAGTGAAATGTTTGGATTTGTTAGAGACGCATACATGCATTGTTCAAAGGACTGGGGTGAGGAAACTCTAATAGAAGAGCTTGATTATGTTCGAAAAATTTTCAATGGGAGTGAAGATTTTAAAGGCAAGGAGTTGCATGCTATAACTTATGGGTTGCGTAACAGGCTTGAGAAAAAGATGATCTCTCCTTCAGACGCCTGCGATTTCATCTTTCATTTTTTTTAAATGTGAGTATCAAACCAAACCTTATCCTTTGCAATTTCTGTTGAATTTGGATTGGTATGAATGGGGAATGGAAGAGTTCAAAATGGTGGGAAATGAAACTTATTTGGCCTTACAGATAATTGAACGTATCTCTACATTAAAGCTTAACTATCACTCTGTCTCTCTCTATGTATTTTTTTTAGTTTTTCCTTTTATATGGTTGTGCATTGCGTCTGTAGTTTAGAATTTATGTGATTAAGTATGTCTAGTCTTTATAAATTATAGCGATTGATCATATACGTAAATAAGCTTAATTTAATAAGGCATTAGCTGTGACAATAGAGGTCTGCTTCTTGAAATGAAAAAGAAATTAAAATTTTGATTGTTACCCTTGGGAAAGGAAGACTGCTGCTGGCATTTGTAATAAGAAGAATGATGATCATTGAGTTGTTCTAATCAGAGAAGTATTTGAAGTGGAATTTGTTTAGCGCCAACAAACTTAACTTTTTAACTGCAAAGACGAAATAATTATGGAATGACAGAAACCTTAGTTTTCCTCCTCTTTTTGTTTGTTTCAAAAGTTATTTCTATATACGAAAGCTAAAAACCGAGGCACCAAAGATGGCATTTTTTGAGATTTTCAGCGACTAAAATGCACGGTTTTCCTTTTAGAAGGCAGATGATAAGTTCCATGTGCAGTATGAAGAGTTAGCTTTTGAATATACAGATTGGTGATCAACAAGAACATTATCGCTCCAACAACAACAACATACCCAGTGAAATCCTACGAAGTGGGTTCTGGGGAGGGTAGAGTGTGCGCAGACCTTATTACTACCTCATGGAGGTAGAGAGGCTGTTTCCGAAAGACCCTCGGCTCAAGTGCATCAAATCCAATATAACATTATCGCTCCAAGTGTACAAAACAGAAATGTCATTGTACTGCTACAGTGCTACTTATAACTTCAAAAATGGTTTCATTAAAAGGTTTCGAGTCATTTACCTTACGATATTAATTTTGAGTAAGACAAAAACCAATTGTAGTATATGTTAAAGCTACATAGCTATGTTATTTTCTAATTTGCAGTGTGTTGCATTTTCAGTTTACGGCTTATCCCAGTGTTATACCATTTGACATTTATCAATTACTATATGAGATCCAAAATGAGCCACTGATTGCTAACCTTCATGTCTCTGTGGCACATTTCCACTAATCCTGATTTTCTGTTATTAACAGACACGGATGGTTTGTCGCAGTTTCTTTTATCCAGTTTTCCTGCATCCATCCCTCTGGCTGATGAATTTCCTTCAACATAATGAGCTCTTCAAATGGAAGAAAAGGTAGATTACTGCTGATCATCATCAAAACGATGCCAAGGAGCCCTCTTAAGTCTAATAGAATGATCGAGGATGAATTGTTCAACCATAAAAGAAAGATGAACTCTTCAGGGGAAAGAAAACATATGATAGTTTGTAAAGCATTGTGAGGATCCCTCTTAAGTCTGATTTTCTAATTAATTTAACTTTTATTTTTGTGATCCCCAATTCTTAGCTCTATTGAGGATATTTTTTTTGTCAAACGCTAGCATTGTTGTTGTGGTAGTATTTCTCATGTAGATTCTTGTCCTTTGATTTCTTTTACTATATACAATCTCTTGTACTTCGACTGTTGCATTATTTTGTTGTAGTTACTATTCCTTTTTTCAGAATGATTTGTCATGCTTCCTTTTAGTAACTGATTTGATATGCTTTTCCTTGAGCCGAGGGCCTATTGAAAACAACCTCTACCTCCCAAGGGAGGGGTAAGGTTTGTGTATACTCTATCCTTCCCAGACCTCACTTGTGGGATTACACGGGGTATGTTGTTGTTGTTGTTGTTGCTAGCATTGTGGTTGTGATAATTCTAGCTACTTTTTCCCTCATTGAAGACATTAAGATTTGAATTTGATGCTTTTGTTCATGTCCATTGCCAATGACTTCTAAAAGGGGAAATAGCCTGCTGTTTTTCCTTCCTTATTAACTATCAAAGTCCCAACCTGCATTCTGTCAAACTGTTACGCTGGCCCCTACCGTGATATCTTGGAAGGGCAGTGTAAAGCAAGGTGATTACTTTCCGCCAGGCACTTGCAATGTCTTCATACAGTTTTTTTCACTGTGAGTATCAAACTAAACCGTATCCTTTGTAATTTCAACTGTTAGATTTGGTATTTTTCGTCCTTACAGATAACGGGAGCATATCTCTGCAGTAAATCTTAACTCTCTCTGCATTTGTTGGTTTCTTTCTTTCATCTTATTCCTTTTATATGTGTCCACTCTGCCCGCTACACAGTTCTTAGTTGTTGATTTTTGGAAATTGTGATGGAAATGATGGATAAAGAAGCTCTTCAAACTAATCATTTTATTAGTAGACATTTCATTCTCTAGTACAGACAATAGGTCATTAAAATAGACCATATCTGCTAGTACAAAATAGTATAAGTGAGATAGAAACCAGCCTAGCTAGTAAGTAAACTTTACATAAAGCTATAATTAACATTTGTGAACTCCTCGATCGATCGATCAATTGATCATCAGATACTGCAGGAATAGTCAACAGCCTCTCCAATTGCCAGTGGCATTCCATCTTGCAAGCAATCAATCGGAGGTATCGTTAACGTCTGCTGAATTCCATAAGCGTTCCAGCAGAAAGGATCTTCCATGAGTTCGCCTTCATGTGGTAAGAGTTCAACTTCAGACATTGTAATATTAGTGCAGGCTACAGTGTCACTGCAGGCAAAGTGTATGGGGGCACTCCTCACATCGTAGGTGCCCTTGATGTTCCGGTACGAGATGTCGCCCACGCTTACAGCCGACGTCTCGTTCCGACAGCCTTTTGAGAGGCAATAGTATTGGTCTATGATGATGCAGTTGCGCACATTTTCCATCTGAATTGTGTCAAATGATAGTCCTGTTACTGATCCAGAACCTCCTTGCCATGTCTTGATCCGGACTCCGTTGTCCGAATCTCGAATAATGGTGTTGCGGACCGTTATGTTCGACACACATGCCTGGCTATTGTGCACCCCTAGGCTCCCAATACTGCACACACAACAATATACTCAGTGTAATCCCAAGTGCGGAATGAGGAGGGTGGTGTGTACGCAGCCTTACCCTCCCTTCTGAAGGAAGCGAGGTTGTTTTCGACAATCACTTGATGATGAAAATTAATTGGATTTCAAAGTCGGTACGAAACACCAGATGACAAATATTTGATTTACTCTAAGATAGGTTGACATGATTAATTAAGAAGATTATAATAGAAAAAGACAGATCTTTGTCCTTATTACACTAATTAGGAAAATTAAGTTTCAGCTTTTTGTATGTTTTATTTATTTATTTATACTTTATATTATAAGTTTATATTATAAAAATTGAGTATTTAGAAAAAAGTAGAAACATAAAGTACCTGATCCCGTGACTAGGCCCACATGTGACTGCTTCAATCTCAACATTTGAACAACCAGGCCCAATTGATATGCAATCATCCCCTGACACAATCATACATCACATTATTGTTATTATTCGTTTCGTCCACTGTTTGACTCAACACAAAATTTAAGAAAAAATGAATTATATCGTTAACGTTAAAGGTTCATTTTGTACCATTAGCTATGACGGAGTTGTAGATTCCTACAGACTTGGTGTCCTCGATATGAATTCCATCGGTGTTTGGGCTAAGCTTAGGCGAAGAAATTGATAATTGGTCTATCAATACTCCTTCGCATCCATCGAATTTCATGTGGAACATAGGACTATTTTGTATTCTTAAACCTCGCACCGTCAAATTTGAGCTCATGAAAAATCTTATCATCTGTTAAAAATATATATATTTTTAAAAAAAAGTCATTACATGATAACTAAAATAATTGAATTTTATTGAACTCGTACAAATGATGGGTGAATGTAACTTACAGAAGGGCTGTCACATGGTCCAGGTAAAGTTGAGCCATTAGGTCCCTGAAATTTGACAAAAGAAATTGTACTGATTACCATACATATATTCACGAGAATTGTCTGACTTTATGCTTATTGATATGAGTATATTTGTCCGAGTTTAAGTTTTGTACACTGATCATAGTATAAAAAATTATTTACATAAATCGATCAATTAAAAGATAATTGTAAGTAAAACTATTTAGTAGTAACATTTATTCTTAATCTCTAATAAATGATATTTCAATTTAGTTGGTTAAAAGACAATTGCAGTACATAAACACTATTTAATACTAACTTTGATAGTTAATCTCTGATAAATGACATTTTAATTTAGTAAGCTAAAAAACACTATTTAATAACTTGATTATTAATCTCTAATAAATGATATTTTCACTGTCTCAATTAATGCAGTATATTTTATCGGATACAAAAAATAAGTTACGACTTAAAGCAAGTCATAAATATTTCTGTTACGATAAATATATAATTTAAAATTCAATTATTACTAAATCTGAAAATATAATTAGACCAAAAATGAAACTATAAATCAGATAAATCCTATTTCTAAACAAATAATCCAATTAGAAAATAGAGATAGAGACAGATAGAAGGACACTCACGGGACTCTTTAAAACAACGTAATTTCATAGGCAGGGTTTAAAAAGAACAAAGACATATAGCAGACCTTATTCCTATCTTAAATGAATATACAGACTGTTTCCATAACACCCTCGTTCTAACGAAACGATATAAAAGACGGAATAGCATTAAGCAGAAACAACAATAAAATAATAAGATAACCGAGACCAAAAAACAAAAAAGTGACTTACCCTGTGAGGTTTGCAAGGGAGTTCCCACCATTTTTCACCATTACCTTCAATTGTACCAGTACCAGTAAAAGTCATATTATCAAGTTTATAAAACACAATCCATTGCCTTTTACTATCTTTTTTAGGCCAACAATCTGGTCCTTCTGGTGTCATTAACACCCCATTTACCTATTTCACAATAAAAATAAAAGTAAAAAAAATTAACCAAACACAATTCAAAACAAAATATTTGTCGTATAAATTGAAACAGATAGAAGAACTATGTATGTATATTCTTACGCGAAATTCGAGTCCCGGCTTGCAAGGACCATAGAAAATAGTAGAAGTAATCATAAAAATACGGTCCGCGGGAGCCAATAGCACCGCGGATTCAACTTGACACGCGGCTTTCCAAGCCGCGACGAACGCTTCGGTGTCATCCGTGGAGCCGTCCCCGACGGCTCCATACTCCATGACATCGAAAATGCAGTCCTCTTCTGGGTTCAATGCGGGCCCCCCTCCGTAACTCGGGTCGGATGGTACTACATTACTACTAGGCGAGGAAACTGGTGATACTGGTGGTGGTGATACTGGTGATGGTGATGGTTCGTTTACGCTACCTTCGATAGGACTAGGAGCATTATTAACTTTTTTGCTCTTTGTTTTCTTGGAAATGTGATGTCTTGCATCAACATTGATAGAATTACTCGTAATAATAATAATAAGACATAGTAAAAGAAATATTTTCTCCATTGAAGGAAAAATAACTAAATTTTAAAGAAGAAAAAACTTTAATGTTGTTGTACTACTTTGTGTGTGTGTTTTTTTTTTATTTGGCAAGAAGCATATGAAGATGAGGCTGTAAATTTATACTGAAAAAGGTAGGGGACACGTGTCGAGTATAGGTTGATTAATACATTGTTGTCTACAAGAATATTAACTGTTGAGAAAATTTAATTTTAAAATAATGTGAGACAATGCCAGGTCATACATGTGAGAGGCTCTTTTACTGTTTAACGTTTGAACTCGTGGGTCCCACTTACACCACTATTATTTTGCCACGTATCACTTTTCTATTCTTGAGTTCGAAACTCGAAATCCATGAATAATGAGAAGAATAAATAACAACTCTATCTTTCAGATTCAATTAAGTCATAAAATAAGTAGTACTCTAATATAGGTAATTTTACTTTTTGATCAACGTATTTATCAAATATTTATGAATAAATTTTGTAGAATATATGTATTTTCCTAAGAATCTGGAACGTATAAACTAAATGTAATGAAACTTATGGATTCACATTTGAAAATCAAAATTCTTATTAAGTGTATTGTTTCAAAATTAATTGAAATTTTGTTTAATTTTAAACATAAATGTATCTTGTAAAAGAACCTAAAACGTATTACTAAATGTAATGAAACTTATGAGTTTACCTTTATTTAATCTAAATATTTTTTATCGAATGTATTAATTGTTTCAAACTTAATTGAAGCATTTGTTCCATATATAAGATTAATATATCCTTCATTTAATTTATGTGACATTTTATTTTAGTCGGTCTAAAAAATAATGACATTTTTTTTATATTAATAGCTATTCAATTTTAAATTTCTCCTTTTATTCTTAATGAGACAATTTATAGCTATATCTATATATATATATATATATATACACAATTTTATGAAAAAATGGTTGATTCTAACACTTAACCAGATTTCATAGCCACAGATTAACTCAAAGAATATCTCTGTTACTCCGACTGCTATATCTTGGTGTTATCAGGCCATGAAAATGAACTATAGAAGAAAACAAGACATGGCGAAATCACAATTTAAAGTTTATGAATTCAGAGTTTTTAGTCTTTTAAAATTAAAGCTATTAAAATTTTAAATTAATAATTTTTTACTTGTTCAATCAGGAGGAGTAGATATAGGAAAGGGGTAAGCACTGGTGAAATAAAAAAATTCACTAGGGGTGTTCAAGAATTAATAAATACATACAAAAAGCAATGTATAACTTATATACTTTATATAATTTTTTGATAAAGAATATTCAACTGACCACCCATCATTGTATGCGGCTAAACCACCCTATAGTGTTCACGCGGCCAAACCTCCTCGGCAAAAGATTACCCTAGGTATTTTATTTTATATATGTTTAGTATATATAAATTTTGAATCCCTTGAACACAGGATTGCAGATTTTCTTAGTAGTCTAGGGGTTTCAAAATTGATGTTAAGGTTCCAAATTCAAATCTCATATACTATATTTTCAGTTTTTTTGAACTGTCTTAGTGAAAATTCTATCATAACTATTAAATTCGATTGAACTCGTAAGGGAAGGGGTAGGTTTGTCCCTCATCTTAATTAAAAAGTGAACATGATTTGGATGTAAAGAAAAGTGGGAAAAAATAGGTCTCGTGACTCTATATTGTTGTGTAGTGTCTTGTGGCCATGGAAGTAGGAAGCATATATTAGGTGGACGACAAAATAAATAAGCAATTCACGGGTGCATAAACTAAATATAATCTAACACTTATTTGTGTTTTTGTGTCACACAACCGACACACTTATATTATTTCATTAATATTTTCAAAATAATATTTTACGACACTAGAGATCACTAAGAAATCGTATAATGAATATATATATAACATGGTTTACGTGTTCATGATTGATACATCGATCACATTGATATTACGTTTTAGTTTTGACCTAAGTCACATTTTGTTCCTCTCCTTTGCGAGATAAAACATATACTATTATAACCATACTTTAAAACTCGATATATCTCTATGATCCTTGTCGCTATGTAATGGCTTTGAAGCGTGTGTTTGATACTATACTATCAACATTGAACTAATTAAGGTTGATAGCTAGTGTCTTCCGATTATTAATGATGTTGTTCGTAAAGTATTTTTCTCAAAATAATTTAGGACCATTACTAATTTCAATTCAGGGTCACAATCGAATCACGATATTCTTGTTATGATCATATAATTAATTTCATAATTTGTATTGTTATATGACTTATAAGACAGATCTAAATTTCTTTTTCAAGTACATTCAAACAATAGGACACAAACAATAACATGCCAAAAGTAATTAAATTTAATAATAGCATATAGTCAAATAAATAGAGTATTATATAACATAAATTTACGGAGTTATTCACAACCACTCAATAATTAGTTCATCAAAACCCTAAGAATAGAAACATTCGCCTACAAAGTACAAACATCCTACACAACAAAATCAGCCTATAGAAGAAGAAAACATTAAGAAGAAAACTCTTTTAACCTTTGTCTGTTTTACGATTTAACATTTTTATAATTTTGATTCTTCAATTCGATGTTCGATGTTTTTGAATAATAACTTTTAGGCCCTTTAGCCATCCTTACTCCTTCCAAGCTCTATTGCTCCAGCCCAAATTTAAATGCCCAGCCCAATTGTCCAAACTTTTGTTTAAAACTATTTCTTTCTCATGACTGAGAAATCATTACCAATTAGTATTGGAAAAAGACCTACAGGAATCTCGTTGAATTAAGGAGAAGAATAAACTTAGCTGAAATAGATTTATAATATGATTTTAATTAATATGAAAGAATACGTCAAATAAATTTAGAAACTTAATACAATTGATGTAGGAAATATATATATTATGAGAACTAATAATAAAATTTAATGTAATTTTATCAACAATTAACATCGAGATACATATTATATTTTCACACCCATAGAATAAGATAATAATAATGCTTTATATATACGTAAACACAAATTAAATAGAGGTACAAATTCACATCCATTACAACTAAATCAAGTCAATATTAGGTCATTTGATACCCTAATTGAAAGTGAGTGCCTTATATCTATGAAGGTTCACTCACCCAATTACAATATTTCTTTCTTTTTTCTTCCAAAAAAATATTCATAATCACTATTTTTTGGGTGCAGTGCATCAATAAATATACTCCTATATAATAGTTCATAAATCACATAAAAAATGTAGGTCACATTAAGTAAGCTCAGTGCAACAAACTTGATTGAGAAGATGTTGATAGAGAGATACATCATCGTTCTTTCCTATTGCATTTAAAATTTCTATTTTTGCTAATATTTCATGAGAATCTGTTTATGGATTTACAACAAAATTTTCTTTTTCTACATATTTAATTTGCTTCTATGAACTTAGGAGCAGTCGCCGCCATGGCCCAAAGTGAATGAACAACATCTCTATTACAATGTTATTTGCATTATGACAGTGAATAGAAAGATTGTGAGAGGGGACAACTTCGTCACGGACCTTACTTTAATTCTTTTTAGAAGTCTTTTCCTTTTAGATAATGAACCAAATATTGACAAAAACAAACAAACAAACAAACATGTGCAACATGTTTTGCTTTTATCATAAACGAAAAATGATAAGAAGCATGTTTGAGATTAATTTTTTACCTAAGTTTAGGAGAACACTCTTTTAGCTATTAAACAGAAGTACACCTAACTCTAGGTCCTTTTAATTTTTTAAAAAAATATTTGATATTCCGAAAGAAATAATTGTTTACTATTCCAAACGACTTGGGTTAAAATTTTGAGGAAAACTATCTGGACCATGAGTTTTATTTGGTATTAATTTTATGGAAAATGGTTAAAATTGGCTTTGAATTATGCGAAATAGATCATTTATATTCTCCGTTACATTTTGAGATAAAAAAATATCCCGCCGTTATTTTAAGAGAGTAAGAGACCATAAATACTCTCAAGAGTTTAACAACCCAAATGTGAGATTTGGGCTAAAATCATCCTTAAAGTATAACTCAAGCTCAAGATACATCCTTATGGTATAAATGTGAACAAAAAACATCCTTTATCTATCCTAAACTTAGCAATAATCATCCTTCTGTTAACTTTTGTTAAAAAAATTAACAGCTGATATAAAAAAAAACACGTGGCAAGCATCTGACCTTTTTTCTCTCTCTAAATATTGTTTTCCTTATATGTGTTTAAGTGCATTGCGTATGTTGTTTTTTTAGCAGTTTTTCTTATGTTTTGCCTAAAAGAATTTACTGATTTTCCTATTGATTTTTTTCTATTTACTATTGGCTTGTCAATATAAATTTTTTTTTTGTTTTTTACTACTAGTTAACCAGTTTCACTGTTGTATTGCTGTTTTTAGCTACTTTGGTCTTGTTTTACTGTTTTTTGTTGTTTTTCTACGGCTTTATCAATATTTTGCTGTTTTATTCTTCTGCATTGCTGTTTTTAGCTGGTTTGATGTTGTTTTTACTGGTTTTTGATAATAATTTACTAGTTTTATTTTGTATTGTTTTACCAGTTTCTTTTTCCTATTTTTCAGGTGCTTTGATGTTTTTTTTTGGAGTATTTTCTGCTAGTTTTGGTGCTGTTTTTCTGCTGATTTACCAGCATTTTTGCTGGCTTATTATCAGTTTGAAGTGTTAATATGCTCAAGGTGGAAAAATGAAGAAAAAATAAATACTCTCAGGCAACTCATAGTACTTTTATATTGCACTTAACAAACTTAGATACGTTTAATACAAGAAATTTAAAGCGAGATTAATACAACATAAACAACACTTTCTCATCTTCTCTCTTTCCAATTGCAAGAATTCTTGTTGCTCTTGTGTAACCATGACATTAACTTCTTCTCGGCCTGCTGCTTTTCTTTTATGTAACGATCTTCAATTTGTGCTTTGAGACCAATTTTTTTTCATGGAAGTGGATCTCATAAATTG